TTTCTTAGCGAGTCTTTTATATGCAAGCAGTATCCCCGCCCACCCACCCCTTCTTCATTCCAGTGACTACTCTAAATATTGTTCACTCTTATCTTGGCAAGTGATAGCCCCGCGCACCCACCCTCTATTTTTTAGAGGGTATTATTTGCCAAAATCAGTCTCATCTTAGCAGAAAGTAGCCCCGCCCACCGTCCTTATTCTTATTTTAACGCTTTTATTTCTGTTCATCAATACAAGATCCAACTTTCAATCAGACCAGATACAATGAATCACTAGAATGAAGACGGGGTAAAGGGGCGGAGTTAATTATATGTTCTTCTGTAAAGTGGTAAGAAACTAACAGAACTTAGGCTGTTAAAAAGAGAAAAAAGAACGCTAATCGTATTTTTTTATTGTACTATTTGCTCTAAAAAATGCATTTCTTATTTCAGAAGAAAAAAAGAACGGGTGGGTGGGCGGGGCTAAGTTTAACTTTTTCTTAGCGAGTCTTTTGTAAGCAAGCAGTAGCCCCGCCCACCCACCCCCTCTTCATTCCAGTGACTACTCTAAATATTGTTCAGTCTTATCTTGGCAAGTGGTAGCCCCGTGCAGCCGCCCTCTATTTTTTTAGAAGGTGTTATTTGCCAAAATCAGTATTATCTTAGCAGGAACTAGCCCCGCCCACCCGCCTTATTCTTATTTTAACGCTTTTATTTCTGTTCATCAATACAAGATCAATCAGACCAGTTACAATGAATCACTAGAATGAAGACGGGGGGACGGAGTTAATTATATGTTCTTCTGTAAAGTGGCAAGAAACTAATAGAACTTAAGCTATTAAAAAGAGAAAAAAAAACGCTAATCGTATTTTTTTTATTGTACTATTTGCTATAAAAAATGCATTTCTTATTTCAGAAGAAAAAAAAGAACGGGAGGGTGGGCGGGGCTAAGTTTAACTTTTTCTTAGCGAGTCTTTTATATCCAAGCAGTAGCCCCGCCCACCCACCCCTTCTTCATTCCAGTGACTACTCTAAATATTGTTCACTCTTATCTTGGCAACCGATAGCCCCATCCACCCGCCTTCTATTTTTTTAGATTGTGTTATTTGCCAAAATCAGTCTTATTTTAACAGGTACTGGCCCCGCCCACCCGCTTTATTCTTATTTTAACGCTTTTATTTCTGTTCATCAATACAAGATCCAACTTTCAATGAGACCAGATAATTCAGTTAAAAAAAAAACAATTTTAAGATCACCATAAAGAATTTAGAATTTTCGGAAGGAAATTTCCAATTCTATGGCTTACAACAGCTAGGGTAATTTTTTGAAAATATATTTGAAAACATAATTTCCAAAATTTGTTTTCAGTTAAAACAAATACAATTTTAAAATCATCTAAAAAAAATTTTGAAGTTTTCAGAAAATTTTGATTTTCAAAAAAATTTGACGTCTTGACTCAACAACTATCGAAATTGTTTCGAAATAATTTTGAAAGCTCAATTCAATTAAAAAAAAACAATTTTAAGATCACCATAAAGAATTTAGAATTTTCGGAAAGAAATTTCCAATTCTGTAGTTTAAAACTAGGGTAATTTTTTCAAAATATGTACACATATTTGAAAACATAGCTAAATTCCAAAATTTGTTTTCAGTTAAAAAAAATACTATTTTAATTTTTTTTTCAATTTCCCTATATGAATCTGTAATTTTAAAATAAATCCACATATGAATCTTTTGACTTTGTTTTAATTCATAGATTCTACCGCGTGTCAAAATAGAATTCAAATCCCATTTTACAATAAATAAAATAAGTCGGAGGATGGAGAAAAGACGTGGGCGGGGCTGAGTTTAGCTTCTTTCAACAAAATTTTATAAGCAAGCAGTGGCCCCGCCCACCCACCCTCTCTTCATTCCAATGACCACTCTTAATATTGTCCAGTCTTATCTTGGCAAGTGATGTATATATATTTATACACTCTTGGATATTCTTATTTGCCCTTTTCTAGGCTTTATAACTATAATTTATTTTTGAAATTCCGTTGCGACATTGTCACGTTATTCCAATTCTGTTGAATTTTTTTAGCAATGGAAGGGTTCAAAAAAAAAAATTGTAACAGGGTTATTTTTAAAATCTATGTTACAATATTTTTTCGAAGGATAAATAAAGGTACCCGCTTTCTCGTGGTATCAATCAAATCAAATTTTAAAATACAAAATGCTTATAAAAATATTCTAAATCTAAACATTTCAATTTTTTCAAACAGAACTTATTTTATTACTATATCTTACTCTATTTTTGTTTCTATTCTGCTAGTATGTCGATGTGTGTCTTAAAATGTAAAAAATTTCAGTAACAAACAACAGAATCAGATACAGATGCAGTAATAAAATATAGTGTTCTATTTAAAAAAAACTAAAATATCGATATTTGAAAATTGTAATAATCAAATTTTTTATAAACACTCTGTATATAACAATGTAATGTTATTTTTCCCACACGTAGCTTTATTTATCTCTCCAAAAAATATTCTAACACAAATTTTAAAAATAACCCTGCTGTGATTTTTTTCACTTCCACTGCTAAAAAAATTGGAGAAAATTGGAATAACGTGGCAACGCCGCATCACATTTCAAAAATGAACGGTGGTCAATTACAATATATAAAAATATATAGGTGTTTAAAAAAAAAATTAAGTTGAGTGGCTAATTTTAGAGTATAGTCCTGAAAGAACCGCACAACTTTGGTTTTCCCTTTTTTTATTTTTTTATTTTAAAATGCAGGGTGTTTATAAAGAAATAACTTTACAATTTTCAAATATCGACATTTCAGTTGTTTCAAATGGAACAGCTTGTATTTTATTACTGTATCTTACTCCATTTTTTGTCCTCATTCTTCTAATATGTCGATGTGTCTATTAGAAAAATTAAAACTCTCAGTAACTATCAACTTTTAATATAGAAAATTCTGTAAAAAAGAAAGAGGACAAAAAATTGAATAAGATGCATTAATATATAGGATGTTTTATTTGAAAAATCTGAAATATCGATATTTGACAATTGTAGTAATTAAAACATTTAATGAAAAATGTAATGGCATTTATACCACAAAAAATGTATCTTTCCACAAAATGTAACGCAGAAGAAAATTGGAACAACCTTGGATCGTAATGTCAAAAATAAGAAGAGGATAATTAAAAATATAAAGATTTATAGGCTGTTCCATTAAAAAAAAAACTAATTTTTGGTTTATGCCTTAAAAACAAAGCACTTTGGCTCTTTTTTCTGTTTTTAATAATAATTAATAAGATGTCGAGGAATGCCTGCTTGGTGACTCACCCTGTATATACAAAAGAGTAAACTGATTTGACTAACTCATTAACTAACTAAATACCATCCACTCGTCATGAGTGAAATAAACTATCTCAGAGAAGTAAATGCGACTTTCATACAATCGTTCATCCCTTATTTTATCCCCTTGGGGGTGCAATTTCCAAAAACGCAGGTAAATCTTAATTTTCAACCTTAAGCCTACTTATTCAATTTCTGATGTTTATTGTTTCGAAAATTACAAAACTCACAAATTTTCATCCCCTATTTGACCCCTTCTTCGGTGGAATTTCCAAAAATGCTGAAAGGGGTAAGTGTTTAATTTCTAACCAGAGTATTAAATTTCATGCTTTTACTTTGAAAACATAGTACGAAACGAGCATTAAGAATTTCATACCCTATTTTATCCCTTTCGGGGAGGAATTTCGAAAAATCAGCAATCAGGACTTTTCTTTTTAGTTAGATATATTGATAACGAACTTTTTCGGTACTAGGGTACTACAATTGTATTATCACGTTCTTCTGTAATTTTAATTGGTACTGTTCTTAATTAAGACAGTGAAGTCTGTTTAGAAAACTAGCGCATCTGTTACATTATTGTGGACAAACTGAAGTACTATTATACACTAAAACATAACAATGATTATGAACTAATTATAACCAATTAGTGGCTTCTAATAATAGTAACTTGTGTATAAAAGCAGTGAAGTGTAATTTTTATCGCGAAAGTGGGTGAAACGAAGCAAAACTTATCTTTATCTAGAATTTGAAGACGAAGACTAAATAAAAACTAGCGACACTTCCCCTGCCTAGTTTGTACCATTATATGTACACTCCTTTATCTATAAAGTTGCAAAAGTTAATATTCCGCAAACAAATTACTTATTATTGAACATGTGTTGCTAATTAAGTTGTTATGACATGCAGTACGTGCACCCGGAAACTAAACTTGGCAATGTTACAAGTCGTCTACAATTATGAGTACCATTATCATCATATATCTGATCCGCCATTGCAAAAAGTGACAGCCCTAAATCTCGCTAAATGTCGCCTTTCCTGATATGGGTATATTCACTCTGCGAGCGCAGCACTTCTTGGAAACCATTTCAATAAATCGCCACCACGCTTCAGAAATTCGCCGTTTTGAAATAATAATTTTGGAAGTCAGTGCCGCAACTTCCTCGAAAGCGGTGAAAATAGAAAAAAGAGTGCAAGTGGTGTTCTTGGAAATGAGTAACAATGTAGTTTTACACAAACTGATCCGAATTAAATGGTGCCAACAAGCGCGAAGGTCTTCACAACGTGCCCATTATCTGTTTACATCAACCTTACGGACTTACATATTTCTGTAATTAACACAAGGCTGTGATGGTACGCTGCTCGCCGTCTTCAAGTGGCTCAATGTTAAGCGATCGTTATTTGCAACGTCAAAGAATTATTATTATAGTATCATACACATTGTATTTCCTAGTGTCGTAACAGCGTTGCGCAAGTGAACTGATTGTCCTTATACCAGCAAGTGACATTTAAATCAAAATCGACAGTCGGAGCGAGCGAATGCAACTGCGCTCGAAATTTATGGTGCGATTAAGTAAAACACCTACTGTCTTTGCAATCGATGCGTTTCGTGGTGTTGTGCATGTGATGAGTAACCTTCGCCAAATGATAATTATCGTCATCGTTCCGTTGTTGCAGGTAGTGGACTCGCGGGCTCGAAGCAACGCGGACGGTGCATTGCAGCAACAGGCGAGAAGGCAGCTAGAAGTGTTCCAAAGCCACATCCCTGGGGGTCATCTACAAGTCATCAAGACCCAGACCGTCTCGAGCAGCCGGTGGAGCAACAAATCGAGCGACTTGCAAGACCTCCCGATCAAAGACTTCGAAAACCTTCAGGTCAGTTCTGTTTGTTTATTCTGTTTAATGAAAGTTGTGAATGTTAGTCATGTTACAGCTCTCGCTGAACCCACTGGATTTGAGCTCGCAAAAATCCAAAGCAAACGTAGGAAGAAGTGTCGGTAGGCGGCCACCTTCACGACCGCGAGCTAGAGACGAATCCTTAAGGACCGCCCAGCAGAATTTATATCGCGTATCCAGGCTCTGCCATCAAATCCACGAGAACGCGGTGAAGCAGACGATACAACGACAAAACGAATTCCACGACAACGAGAGGCTCAACGGACACCAGAGTCTGACACGAACGAAAAGCACGAGCAGCGAGGACCTCCACCTGGAGGACAAGTCGTCCAAGAGCATCGAGGACCTCGAGGACCTCGAGCAACTGCAAAGTTGGAGGAGGACGTCGAAACTGCGAAGATCGCTGCAGTACCCCAAGGAGGCCAAAGCGCAGCCTTCGAAGCCGACGGACTTGCCCGAAAATAGCGGCAGCGTGCGCAAAATCCGAGAGGAATTAGAGAAAGGAAGAAGACTGAGTACAGCTTTAAGAAACAATAGTGTGGATTTGCAGGCTTTAGATCAGATACTGCAGAACATCTCGAGTTCCAGCAGCAATCAGTCGGATCGATTAGATGATAATCAGGACGATCTAGACACGAAGAAGCAAAAACGCAATTCTTTCGTCACCGTTGAAAAGCTACAAGAAGTCAGAGGTCGGCTGAGACGCACCAGCACGCCCACGGAAGACGTTTACAAGGTCAATAAAGAAGAAGAGACTGATGATGGTATAGTTACTGAAGAAGTTAACGATATGCCAGTCAGCGAAAAATCGCGTGTCCGCTCGTACGTCTACGGGATGGAGACCATGTTGAACAAGAAACCCATCGTCGGGACGGGTAGTTTAGAATCGCGTTCCAAACTTCTCAACGGTGGTACCAATCTTCGCAGCGAGGACTGGTACAACCGGCGCAAATCTTACGGATTCGAGCAAGTTCACACGCACGCGGAAGCTCCGAGTCCGATTTCTTTGAAGAATAAAGGACGAGTTGAATCTTCCACTGACAGTGGGATTTGCAGATCGTCCGAGATCGTCATAGTGCCAACTACGAAAACAGAAAACTGTGATGAAAAGACTTTCACTAGCGTTAAGCAGATCTCTTCCATTTTCGATCAAGGGTTTAATAAAGACTTAAAATCGACGACTATCACGATCCCTATAGTTTCTAAGCCCAACTCGAACTTCGTCGACTTGAGTTGGGATGACGTTCCCGAGAAAGACGTAAAAAGACACTCAATAGCGGTAGACGAATCTAAGTACGTGACAAACCACACCGACAACAAGTTCAGGAGGACTAGCTTAGCCATAAACCCGACAATAGAAGACAACAACGCACAAAACCGAAAATCAAAAAAAGTAGAGTTTTGCAAAACCGAAGTGCACTTTGCTGCCGAATCGGGCAAAGTAAACATAGTAGAAACCGACGAAAAACCACCACCCACGAACAATTTTCGTCGAAGACGAAGAAATTCCGGACCTCTTATAAGTGACGACTTTGAAAGGAACGGTTTACCGGTTTTACATTTCGGTGATAGTTCTTATGAGAAAGTGTTGCTAGGTGTGACTGACGACAATACCTTCGACCCACCGACGACAGATGATAACATCTACCAAACCTCACCTCAATCAAACAATGTCTCTTATAGCACGGTCACAGTCAACACGAGTTCCATTCCCGTGTTGGACTTTCAAGAGGACGAAAAAAAGGATTCCATTGAAAACGTGAAGGGAATTCTGAAGAACAAACCGATCAAACCCACTCCCTACCATCTCGGGGAAGATTACTTCATGAACAGTAATTCGGACAGCGATAGTGGTAAATGGGGAGTTCGATTGAAGCCCGTGCAGAAGAGCGATGCACCATTTTGGAAATCGACGGTAACTCTCCATAACACGGTTTATGGCCAAGATAATGTAGAGGACGATGAACAGCCGGAATTTCAAAAGCTGTTAAGGAATTTGCGACCAACCAGTGGGAACAAACCGGATCTGTTGGCCAATCAGCGAAATTCCGAAAATTTTTCGAGTGTAAAATTCGTCACGAGCACAGATAATCGGAAACCATGGTCCGTTGCTGATAGAGTTAAATTAAGTGAAGACAGTCAATGGGCAGAAAATAAGGTTTATTCCACCAAGGTCAATTTCGGAGATGGCGGCACTGCCGTCGTGGAGCAAAAAGACCAACCGTCGTGGAATAAAAAGGAAACCCCTGTTAAAGGTACTTAACTTCTTGTACGTAGTAGCTTCTAGTCTAATTCCCCCTTTCCTCTTACCTTTCTCTAACTAAGCTGTAAAATAAGTACTTAGCTGTTACAAGTATGAATTATGATAGTGTATATTGTAATCGGAGATGTAAATAAGTAGCGTAATTAGTAGCATTAAACTGTCTCTTTATGATCAAGCTAGACGTTGTAAATTATCAGTAGAAGGTACCTTATTCTATTTCTGCATGCGCCTTTTGTAAACGTAGATTAACCTCTCTTCTGACTTGCCATCTATAACCAACCTTCATTAAACTGAAACTTGCAGACTCGGAGAGAATTTTAAACAAAGGACTTGTGGTTAGGATAGGAAGAGACGACTGCACTTCTAAACATACAGTATGTTCTAAAACGACATCACTGGATTCGAACACTACGACGACAACGAAAATCACCATCGACCTAAGTCCGTCTCCTACTAACACGAAAATCCAAAACTCTCCTATAGTTCCTCAAACCAAACGATCTCACTGCTTCAAATCTACCTCTTTAGTCCTAGACACTATTAAAAACGACTGCCTTAAAACGAACCACGTTAACATTCCTCAACAGCTAGAAGCCTTGAAGAAGCTTTACGAAGATGTACAAAGCGATAGTGACGCGGACAAAGAAGTTCAAGTTCTGATGGGAAGAATGGAAAGGGATTTCGAATACGACAAAGACGATAACACAAGCGAAATCTCCGGAAGCTGGAGTAAAATGAGGGCTTGCAGAATTCTTAACGATCACGTTAACAAGACAAATGTAACTCGGGATATTCCAAGCTCTAGAATAAGTGCAAAAGTAGAAAAAGGTACCTGTCGATAGGAAACCGTTAATCTTTATTTTGTTCAATTAAAAAATCTATTTCGTTTTTTTTAAACACTTTTCCAAAATTGACCTTGCTCGAGTAATACACGACCACAATCACAACTCTTTTGTTATTTGCAGATGATCCAAAAGAAAGTGCCAAGTTTAAGTTTGGAATCGGAGATAATTTGTCTAGCTCAACACACTACGAAAGCAACCAAAACGAACAAACTTCAAAAACTTATAGAATTAAACTCAAAGACAGTAAATATTCACCTGTAGTTATCCGCAAGAACACTTCTCTAGCAAAAAAAGCAGACTTGCGTACGGCGACAGCAAACGAGAAGTTGTCAAGTCCGTCGCTGGTCACTCGTAGCTCAAAAACAGACTTGCGCTCAGAAAAATATGATTACACAACAGACCATAGGGAATTTGGTAATGTTACGGACACCAAACTCCACCAAAAACATTCTTCGAACGACATAGTGCTTCGTCAGCCGAAAAAGTCAGAGATGACTTATTTCGGTGTGCGAGTTTCACCACAATCGATAAAAAAAAGCGAAGAGACTGTGATACGTAAAGAAACTAAACTGTCTGAAAAACCTGATCTCTTACAACACATGAAAACTGATAGTCCTAGTAGTAGAATCCGGGCGAGGAAAACTTCGCCCCCGGAGAAAGAGCAACCGATTTACGAGAACGTAGCAACGAAAAACAAGACGCGACAGAAGGAATTCGATTGTAACATACTCGAAGAACTAACGAAAGCGGCTGACCAGATCATGCTGGCCGTCAATGGATTTACGGATGACGATTCACACAAGTATAGTGGTGACGAGAAGAGTTTCAAAAAAGAGCCTTTGGACACCATAACGGAAAGTAAATCGTGGAGCCAGGACAAAAAGACGAAAACGACGAATAAGCAGACGAACGTTAGAACTAAACTGAAATACACGTCATCGACGTCTTCTGTCGAAAGTTTATCCAGACCTAGAAGACCACAAGTGGCCAAGACGGCTCCTGTTAAGAAGAAAACTGCAACTAACGAATCAACAACTAGAGCTACGACTAAAGCGAGAAGATTACAACGGGCTAGTAGTAGAGAAGCGTTGTTACAGTCTCATGGTAGTTCTTCGGAAGATTTAGGTACAAATACTGAGGTTCCACCTAGAAAACCAAGACAGATTCGAAAAACAAAATCTACACAGCTGAGTGTTACTAATGGTATAGAAATGAGTAAGAGAAGTACGCCACCGAATCCACCTAGGCGCAAACGGGAGACATCCAAAACCAGAAATGAGGAAAGGTACGCGAGATTACTTTATTCAGATTGGTTAGTACTCATTAGTTTTGTTTTAGGGTGGAACCAGTACCCGAGATTCGCCATAAAACTGCAGTGTCAACCATAAGGAGTACCGCGGAAAAGTCTAGTCGTGACAGAAGTAGAAGCAGATTGGAAGAGTCTAAGAAAAGAGTGCCCCAAAAAAGAGAAAGTTCTAAAGGTATCTTCCACTTGAATTTTAGTGTAGTGGTACTGATTTTCTGCTTTCAGGATTATCTTCTAAAAGTGATCTGAAAAAACCCGTATCTTCCAGAGAGATCTCTAATCACCGAATCTCTACAGCGTATGTACCTGTTTGTAGACCTAGAAGTCGAAATGTACACACTGATCAAGCTGACGAGTGTCCATGTTTATGTTCTTGACAATTAGAACTACGCTAGGTAGAAAAATATTTTTCAGTATCAGTAGACTTTCGGTTTTCTTTTGACTAATCTTGTAGTCGAACTAATACTCTGCTAATCAAATACTGAAAGCGTTGTGAAGACGTAGTTTAACTTGCTGATTAACATGTAAGTACCATTGTCGTCGTCATTGTAGCTGTAGTGTTGTTAAATGGTACAGTAACTTGAAAAGATCTTCTACCTAGCGTAGGTCTTGTAGATATTTCTCACGTAGAAAAAATTAATGAATGCGAATTTAAAGCTTACTAAGGCCATGACGTCACTTTCTAAATAGAGGTTTGCAATTTCCGCTGATGCGTTAATAGCCAATGTCAATAATTCTACAGTCTGGTCAGAAAGCACTAACATGCTCCAAGTGGTGTTTTTATCTCTCTAACACGTTTTTTTCTTTTAGGAACATCAAGAAATGTCACCGAGCAGACGAGGGAACAAGACATTCGTAACAGATGGATCGTCGATCTTTTTTTTAGTTAGTTCTGTATGTTGTAAGATTAGTATACGATTTGAATGTGTAATATCCTGCCGTACTAGCATGTAAGTTCCTAAAAATTAGTGTTAAACGTCTAGATGTTTCCAATTAATTATTTTTCCAACGACCAAGACGGACGTTTTCAGTTTGCATCTAATAACATGTGAGTTGTGCTTACTTAATGCTTAACATGTATTGTTTAATAATTTGTAATTTATTTTTAACTCTCTCAAATAATTGTGATCTTAAACTGCTTTGGTTTTGTGATGTTTTAATAATAATTAAATTGATAATTAATATGATGTGTTTCATTGGAAAGTTACGCCCCCTCAATTCGCATGACGTTGAAAGTTCAAATGTTATTTAGACAACAAATTGCTAATTTTACACTCGAAAAATAAATAAATAAATACCATGTGATAAAAAAGGAACTACAAAAGAATGTTATTTACGTCCGAAAATATTCCATCGTCTTATTATAATTACATTTGGCTTTTATCTTATCAGAGCGTTGTTGCCGAGTATTACGAAATACAAGTGTCCATAAGGTCACTATAATCCCACTGTCGCAATGAAAACCTAGTACATATTTGGCAATTTTTACTCATAGACGCGACAGCACTCGAAATGAATGACGAAACACACAGAACTTATTCTCCAATGTGAAATTAATGTTATATCTATCACAATTCAGTCCAATATCTCTTTAACCTTAACCTTTAGATAAGTGGTACTGATATTGCATAATTAAAAATTCTACTCGTATGTTAATACTAGTTGTTAATGAAAGAATGTGAACAGAAACAAACACGAAAATGGTAAGCCAAAAAATACAAAAACAACAACAATTTTACCCGTTTTAGGAAAACAATAAACTGTGGGGTGGACGCTTCACGGAATCCACAGACACCAACCTAGAGAAACTAAACTCTTCGATCAATTTCGATAGACGTATGTTCGCTGAAGATGTCGAAGGTAGCAAAGCATATGCCGAAGCTTTAAAAAAAATTAATCTTCTGACGGAGCAAGAAACAACACTCATATGCGACGGTTTGGATAAAGTCAAAATCGAATGGGATAAAAATTCGTTTGAGATTAAAGAAGGTGATGAAGATATTCACACTGCTAACGAACGACGACTTAAAGTAAGTTTATTGGAAACTCGGAACAAAGCTGTGAAAGTTTTTTAGGAAATTATAGGCGAACCTGCTACGAAACTGCACGTTGGACGAAGCAGGAACGACCAAGTGGTCACTGACATGAAACTATGGCTAAGAACGCGCCTAAGAGACCTTGACAACACTGTACGATCTTTGATTAAAGTTATAGTCACCAGGTCGGCAAATGAGATTGACGTGATGATGCCCGGCTACACGCACTTGCAGAGGGCACAACCTGTCAGATGGAGTCACTACTTGTTAAGGTAATTCAACTGAAAGCAACTGTTCAGTTTTACTTAAGTCTCATTAAAGCCACGCTTGGAATTTACAAAAAGACTGCAACCGGTTGGACGATATCGTCAAAATTGTCAATATCCTTCCGCTAGGGAGTGGAGCTATTGCTGGAAACCCTTTCCCTATTGATAGACTCGACCTAGCATCTTCTCTTGGTTTCAACTCTGTTACGCAAAACAGCATGCAAGCAGTCGGAGATCGCGATTTCATTGGTAACAGACACTATTGTCAAAAATTTTGCTAACTTAGAATTGTAGCCGAGTTTTTATTTTGGGCGTCAATGGTTGGCATTCATTTGAGTCGACTAGCCGAAGACTTGATTCTATACAGCTCGAAGGAATTCGAATTTGTGACAATCGGTGATTCCTACTCAACTGGGAGTAGTTTAATGCCACAGAAACGAAATCCTGACAGTCTAGAACTCATCAGGGGCATCGGCGGAAGTCTCTTCGGACAATGTTGCAGTTTCATGATGGTCCTTAAAAGTCTCCCCTCCACTTACAACAAAGACTTGCAGTACGACAAAGAAGCGATGTTCACCACCTTCGACAAGCTAAAATCAATCCTCGAGGTCGCCACCGGAACCGTTGAAACTTTGAAGGTGCTTATTGGTTTTGATTGTCGCAAAGTCTGAGTGTTGTTTTTAGATTAACCAAGATAAGTGTAAAAACGCTCTTAGTTTTGAAATGTTGGCAACCGATGTGGCTTACTACTTGGTCCGTAAAAAAATTCCGTTTAGAGAGGCGCATTATCTAGCAGGGAAAGTCGTAGCCGAAGCAGAACGAAAAGAGGTCTCTATCTGCGATTTAACTTTAGAAGAGTTGAAGAATATAAGTCCCGCTTTTGGTGTCGATGTTGGGAAAGTATGGAATTATGAAAACAGCATTGAGCAGTATCAAGCGATTGGGGGAACAGCTAAATCGAGTGTTATGAAGCAAATCGATCTGCTTGAAAAATGGCTGATTCAAAACTGATAAAAATAAATGTTATGAGTACGGCGTGCTTTTACTCGAGGTATTTCCTGGGAGAGTGGGAGTGTTAAAAATATCGTGAAATATTATTAGAGTGGCAGGTATCTTAATGCGAAGAGGGTCCACAATTAATTTTAGGTGTAAAATCAATAGATTTTATGATTATTAAAATTAGTTATAATTGAACTATTTTCGGGTGTATAATACCTTAATAACAATCAATTGGTTTTTATAATTACTAAAATTAGTCATATTTAAACTGTAGATTAACAATATTCGCTGTAAATATTTATTACAGAACGAATAATTAGATGTGAAAAATCCAGATTTAGAATTATTTCCCCGCCTGAAAGTAAACTGAAATGGATTTAAACTCAGAAGCATGATTTTACTAAATTGTTCATTAAATGGATTAAATCATGATACACTATATCCTGGATCAGATCATCATGACGGAAACGTAAAATGTAGGTAACAAAAGATAAAATGATTTTATTCTGTTAGTCTTAGTTATAACGGATCTTTTTGTCTACAATCCGTTTAATTATGACTAAGAATTTCAATAATCATAAAAATTATTGACTATAGACCTAAAAATCGGTTAACTATGACTAATTTTAATATTTCATTCTATTGATTTTACACCTAAAATTGATTATGTACCTACCAAACCCTCTTAGCAGTTTTAATGCGTCGTGCTGGTATGAGATCACCGACAGGTTTTGATAACCTTGTATTTTTTAGACCAGATGTAATTTATGATGGGACGAAACAGTTAAAGAACTGGGTAGGAAAAATTATTAGTAATTTCTTACAAAAAAATCATAGACATTGTGGCTTAATCAGATGCCATTTTTTTTTTAAGAATGATTAATCATAAAAAAAAATTAACCAATTTCAACCGCGATGCCTGTTATTATACAAGAACTGTATTCATCTGGGTTCGTTTGTGGTTTCCAGAACACTGATAACAGTGACAATTGACTGAGTTTAATTCTTATAACTGTCAAGATCTTACTTTAGATAGCCTGCATATTAATTTTCTAAAATGCATTAACAAAATACATTTTGCCCAGATGGAATTTGATTTCTTTATAGTTTGTTTGTTCGTAGGTTAAATTAAAAAAAATACCTGTTGATTCATGTTGGTATAAATATCCAAAGCAACTAAAAATGTAATTATCATTAAGTGACGTAACCGCATCAAAAACACGATCATATTTAGCACAATTTTGAAGGAACAATGAATGAAGTTTGCCTTCTTACCTGTAAAGGAGTGAATCATCTCGGTATTATTGCATCAATTTTACAAAACAACACTGCGGGACAACATAATTTAACCTCGTTTGCCACAGCAGTGTTCCTGTTTGTATTTTCGAGGTAATCTGCTGTTTTACAAAAAAAAAAAAAACTGAAAATTCTCTGGATTTTAAAAAGCAAATTAACTTTGGAAGAACAAATCTATTTCACTTCTGCCACATTTTTGAAGGTTATGCAACCTTTAAACCAAACTACACCATTTAATTCGAAGTCAACAATCTGGAGAGTCAATTTTTAGATTCTAATCGAAAAATTAAACAAAAATTGGTGTAAGTTACTTAGATCAACTTTCCTCGTTCAATCAACTTTTAAATCTCATTTGTTTTAAATACATTTTTTGGAAACTTGATGGCGTTTTTAGTGTTGTGGTGACCGAATTTGAATTAAAATTTCGCGCTGAAAATTTTTAACAGCGGCGCGAAATCACATTTGAATAATTTGAATTTGAAAAAAAAATCAATCAAGAAAATCGTTAAACATAGGCAACCATGTGCACGTTAGCGCTTTTTGGATAGTGGGTACTTCTGCTTGGAAATTTTAGTTAGAGGTAGAAGAGGGTGGCTTGGTGGCGAGAAGTTGACTTTGCTTGGTAGAGGGAGAGGGTCACGACCCTGGCACTTTTGTTTTGGTTTCCTGAGTGGAAGCATAGTGAAAAGACACGGTAAGTTGGCTAGGTTAAGTTAGTTGGCTTGGCAGTTGATAAAAGGGAGGAAGCCTTTCTTTAACAAAAATTAATCGTAACGACGACGACGCCACAGTTTCCTCAACATGCATAGCTAATTCTTGGAGCTTTCTAATCAGAAAAATGGGAATTTTCGATCGAGACGTGTAAATTTGATTCATTGTTTGTAAATTCACAGTTCATGTTAGGAGTTTAATCGTTAACTGGTTCTAACACAATTTAACAGACATTAGATTTATTTAGGTAAATCACTTGGTAGGAGATTTCATGAAATTTACTTAGTCAGGATAACACCCTTTGTTTACAAAGTTATGAATAGGTTTCTGGATGCATATACGTAAGTGTTACATTATAACACTTTTTAATTCTTCACACAAGATTGCTAATAGTTCATTTACATCAACCTAACGTTGCCCCACTGTGGAAAAAGATAATATCGTATCATCATCACATCACCTAGATATTTCTCTCGCAACGTGCAAAGCTACATCACCGAGAAATGTAATCTCGCAACGCTAAAAATGACATCACCGAGGAACTTTCCTCGCAACGCCGGAGATATTTTGTGTTGTTTATTTATTATGTGTTTTCTTTAGGATATAAACTCTCAAAACAAATTGTTTCAAGTAACCAATCACTTGGAATATGGCATAATGTAACATCATATAAATTTGTTTGAATCGTTGATAAAGTGTGGCATAATTTAACATAATGTAAACTCTTCGTTTGAATCGTTGATAAAGTGCGGCAAATATTAACCTTATGTAATTTTGTTAGGTTTGCAATTTTTCACCTCATACAATTTTTCTTTATGTCACAATTTTAACTTCAGTAATTTCTTTGTTGTATAATTTAAATTGAACGTAAATTTGCATGCTCTGCAGTTTCTAACCTCACGTAATATTTTATCTGGACAAGTTTATTTCACACCAGATCTTTTGTTTTATAAATCTTTGCTAGTTTTTGTTTTGTAAATATTTTGTTGATTGATGCTTCCATCATAAAATTGTCTGCTGTCCAATCTTAAATCTCAGATAAGAATTAAAACATATCATTACACAGGATGAGTCACTAAGCGCGTGATCCTCGATATCACATTACTTATTCGAGATAGAAAAGAGTCAAATACAAAAATTGTACTGCTGTTTGAGGAGTATACTCTAAAATTATTTTTAAATAAACAGAGTGTTTTGTTTTTAAGACGTAAAATATAACTTTTTTTAATGAAAAAGAGGAGAAAAAAGAACGCTAATCATATTTTTTTTTACTAGGTATTTGCTATAAAAGTGCATTTTTTACTTCAAAAGAAAAAAACGGGTGGGTGGGCGGGGCTAAGTTTAACTTTTTCTTACAGAATCTTCTATAAGCAAGCAGTAGCCCCGCCCACCCACCCCCTCTTCATTCCAATGACTACCCTAAATATTCTTCAGTCTTATCTTGCCAAGTGATAGCCCCGCCCACCCGCCTTATTCTTATTTTAACGATTTTATTTCTGTTCATTAGTATAAGATCGAACTTATTATTGTCTTCAAATCTAAAGGTTGTAAATGTAAATATTAATTTTTCACTACGAAAATATTAGTTTTCAAAAAAAATTAATGCCTTATCTGAACAACTATGGAAATTTTTTTGAAATAATTTTGAAAGATCAATTCAGTTAAAAAAAAAATTAAGATCACCATAAAGGAATTTTGAATTTTCAGAAAAAAATACATACATACAATTTTTGTTTTTTCTCAATTTCCCTATTATATGAAACTGTAATTTTAAAATAAATCCACAAATTAACCTTTCGACTTTGTTTTAATTCTCCGATTCTACCGCTTGTGAAAATAGAACTCAATTCCCATTTTACAGTAAATAAAATAAGTTAGAGGAATTGAGAAAAGAGATGGGCGGGGCTGAGTTTAACTTTTTTGTACAGAATTTTATAACCAAAGAGTAAACCCGCCCACCCACCCTCTCTTCATTCCAGTGACTACTCTTAATATTGTCCAGTCTTATCTTGGCAAGTGATGTATATATATTTATACACTCTTGGATATTCTCATTAGCCCTTTCCTAGGCTTTATAACCATAATTTATTGATGTTGAATTTTTTTTAGCAATGGAAGGGTTCACAAAAAAAAATGCAACAGGCTTATTTTTAAATTTTTGTTTCCATTTTTCTAATATACCGATGTGTATCTTAAAATGTAAAAAAATGCAGCAACAAACAACAGAATTAGATGCAGTAATAAAATATAGTGTTCTATTAAAAAAAAAACTAAAATATCGATATTTGAAAATTGTAATAATCAAAAATTTTTATAAACACTCTGTATATGACAATGTCACTTTATTTATAGCACAACAAAGCACGTACCTTTATTTATCTCTCTATAAAATATTCTAACACAAATTTTAAAATCACCCTGCTGTGAGTTTTTGTGAAGACTTCCACTGCTAAAAAATTTCAAGAAAATGGAAATAACATGCCAACGGCGTATCAGATTTCAAAAATGAACTGTGGTGGTAAAGCCTAAGTTGGGCAATCATAATATCTAAAAATATATAATTGTTTTATAAAAAAACTAAGTTGTGTGTTGTGCCTTAAGGCTGAACACTCTGTGTAGCTAAAAATAATTTTAGAGTATGGATTAATCATTCTACTCCGTTTAATTCCATATTTTCTTTTAATTGAGAGTTTTTTTTCCAATTTTTCATTCATTACACAGCGTGGTCAACAAGTACTGTTTCTGTTGATACCAATGAATTTTGACTGAAAGGAACTCGGAAGTTTTACAAGTCCTCCACTTTCTCAGAATCTTGTGAGTTTGTGGGTTGATTTTGATATTGTGATATAAACACAAATTTTAGTACATAGTTTTTTATTGGTAAAATAATACAAAAATATAGTGGTGTAGAACAAAATTAGATAGGCAACCAACAATACAACCCCGCACACACTTCAACCTACACACCGTCTACACAATTCTCCTTTAACCCACCTCCCCGTACCCACAATTGTGACATTCCCAAAGACGCAAAAGAAAAATGACTAATAATCAATAACGCAATGCCACCGACAATTACAATACGAAAACGCCAGATAAATCGACCAATTTGCAATTGAGAGTTCCTATTAACATGATTACATAAACATCTTACAACACCACGTTTCGTAACTGTCGTGTGCCTCATCTTTCTTCGTCTCTAGCACAGAAAATCATTGAACGAAACCTTTCCGGAGCGAAATCCGCGTATCGTGAGACCGGATGATTCACGATGACGTCACCAGCCTCGCCGATGACGTAAGGTAGGTCGGCATGTGCTCGATTGCGTCATCGCCAAGGGCTGGAGGACAAAACCGACACGACCTTCCATATTCAGCCGACTGGAATGACGAACCGGGAGAGAACGACGCAAATCCTGAGGACTTTTCGATAACAAAAAACATTTTGATGTTCAAGGACGGTGTTTACGCATGAGGAAAGTGTGCTTCAAAATAGTTTTTATTTGCTTATTGAATACAATTCGTATTTTGTTCATATTTGAGGGTTTTTTTTTCTCAAGGAATGACGTCAATGCTTGCAATTTCCTTATGTAACAGTAGCGCGCTAGAATGGGTGTCGCTGGGTCCAGCGCACTAATTTAAGCAAATGAGATTATAATTTTCGGAGAAATAGTAGCTGGAGGTTTTTTATTAGCGGAACACACCCAAAATTAATTTGGTTGTTGTTGAGCTAGCTATTACTACCGACTCGCAATGATAAGAATGTTCATGCTTGGGCGAATGAAGCTGAATTCGTTTCTTGCAAAAAAGTAAAATGCATTATTAAGATTAGGCAGGAAAATGTACGATTCATCGAGTAGATTTAAATTCAAAAAGTAAAATTTATTTAAAATTCAAATACATATTCATTTTTAACTAGAACAGCTGTCTACGTGCGTCACTGCTAACGAATTTTGGTTTCATGGCACCTAATAAAAATAGAAAGAAATATGAATGAGTACATACTAACCTAATTAAATAAATTATGCCAATGACATAAGTAAATACATGTACGTTACTTGAATTAGTGGAGGCTTGCAATAAAAGCAAATGGTTATTATTACAAATGGGCGAAAAAATTTTAAAATTGTACTTAATCCGATCCGTTGAGGTCACACTAAAATTTGGCCGTTGATTAAGAGGATGTCGGACGCCACTGATCACCTTGTTTATTCTTCCAAAGTTGCTATTAAACTATGACTGAAACACAAGCAATATCGCATTTTTTTGATATCTCCAATCTAACACTAATATTAATGTTATAAGTTAGGTTATCAGATGAGATAATTCTGTTTATACTTCGTTGCTGATGCACCCTTTTCACTTGAAATAATTAACTTATTCCGCAATGTTATTTCGATAAACCGCATAATTTACCCACAATTTAGTAATGAATTCAGTATAAATATTTACACAATTTTATAGACTATAGAAAACTAGACAAAACTCGATACGCCACTGGCGCGTAGAGAAAATATAGCTAGTACCACATGTATTAAACAAATTTTACCACTCCGAACAAATGGAAATATCTGATTCAAGCCATCTCTCGACGGCATACCGGTTGTTAAATCCACCACTTTCATTAAGAACTCGTGGAAAATTACCACAATTATGGCGGAAATTTTCCCACTTTCAACTTGTATATGTAGCCAGCGGCGTGCTCCAAATAAGGGGTTTATTGAAGTTCAACCATTTCGGCATAATTAGTCTGCGAAGAGTGCAAATCTGGTTCATAATGTCTGCAATAAGAACGTCTTCTTCTCCCCACGCACCTTTAAAAAGAAAAAAATACATTTAAAAATTAATGTTGATACCACATTTTTGACAGAAGTAGTCTAAGGACTCTTCGCAATAGCGAGTTTGTTTTCTTTCTGGGTGAAAGTTCGCTGAGACTTCTCCACACATGGGTCAAGGGACAAAGGTCGGCTGGTGTCTCGCAACAATTCTGTAAAATTTAAACATCAAAAGTTCTCAAAAATGAGCATTCTGATGATATAGCCGAACAAAAATCGTATTTTGATGGTAAAATAAATAACTACAACAACAGTCAATTTGTAAAACTTCTAATTTAGTCTACTGTGGCGTTTTGTAGTTGATAAAATACGGAAATTCCAGTTTCATATTTACGTCCTTCAGCTGTTAAGTGTACTTTAAGATTATCATGAAGATAATAAAACGCTTGATTTTTAACTGTACATACGTCTATTGAACTTTGCATTCTATTTTCGAAGTATTTCTACAATATTTCTTTGAAATTTCGACAAGACGCTAACTTGTATTTAGGGAACTAAATAAATTCCGTTCTAAATGAGTACGACTTCCCACCAGCTTTAGCGCTCAATAATTAAAACGCTGTGATTTTTCGCCCGTCAACAGCACGCATTTAAAGCTATTACACGCAGAATAAAGAATGAACATTACTAAAAAGTTTCGTTTAGCGATAAAGTTTGACTTCCAATTATGTTGCCTCGGAATGGGTTTTAAAATGTATTAATATCCCATGCAGGAAGTCGATGACGTCACCTTAATAACTCTCTCCATACGTTTCTAATGAAAAATACCCGCTGATGACATACGGTACTCTGTCCCTGAGTAATCAATTTATTTTTTTTTAAATTGCTGACACACAGTTCCGGGAAGAATTAATGTAGGAACGAGTATCTGAGAATATAGTAGCACATAGCTGTACTATATACTGGGTGAGTCACTAAGCGCACCGTCCTCGATGTCTTATTAATTATTATTTTTACATAAGAGACTCTGTAGAATACTTTAAAATTATTTTTGACTGTACAGAGGGCGCTTTGTTGTGGTATAAATTGAATAAAATTTTATTGACAATAACGAGACGGACAATAGTACAATAGCAAGTGATGTTTACAACTTAAAGCTGTCGCGTGGCGGTAATCCGGAGATGTTAGAAAGCAGAATAATCCAGGTCCGATCAGGGACCATTGTTACTTACGAACGAAAATGAGCATTATTTTACGAGTACAACTACCTGCTAAATGTACTCCGACAAATTCGGGTTCGACTGGTGTGAACCATAAATATTTCTTACCATTGTACTACTGTTCGCATCGTTATTGTCAATAAAATTTTATAGGGTACAACGATATTTCGTAAACTATAATTTTAGGGCTTAATGACTCACCCTGTAGGGAATTTCAGTAAAGCGGAGCCACATTTTAATTTCAAACTTGATCTTGTCACATTGCTCTCTTGCCCCTGGCAGCCCAGAAAAGTCACGTGTCAAGAATTTGTTTTGTTTTATACCAGCACATTATTTTGGAAATGTATATTTATTTCATTTGTTAAAAAAATCCATAATTATTTTTAACATTTATATAAAAAAAAAAAAAATGGTTGAAGGTTATTTCGACAGAACTTTCCTAGCCTCTGAACTAAAGGCTCGTTTCTGTGAAAAATTCTGAAAAAATGTATTTTCCAGTTACCTCTAAAAAGTAAAAATCTAAAAACTGAAGAATGTAAAAATTGAACAACCGAAAAATAGAAATCCAAAAAGTCGAAAAATCAAAAAATGGAAAATTTGAAAACCGAATAATTGAAAAATTGAAAAATCCAAATTTTTAAAAATCAAAAATTGTAGAATCTAAAACTGAGAAGTCAAAAACTCGAAAGTTCAAGAAATCGAAAAATCAAAAAATCGTATAACCGAAAATTTTGAAAAATCGAAAAATTTAAAAACCCCAAAAAATTGAAAAAATTGAGGAACCCAGAAATTGAAAAATCCCAAAATTAAAATGTTAAATAGCAACATGGAGAAATCGAAAATCGAATCATCGAAACACCGAAACATTGAAAAATAGAAAAATCCCCAAAATTGAAATGTTGAAAATTTGAGAAGCGGATAACTTAAAAAATAGAGAAATCGAAAAATCAAAAAATTGAAAAACTGAAACAGCGAAAAATCGAAACATCAAAAGATCGAGAAATCAAAAAGTCGAGAAGTCGAAAAATCGAGAAATCGAAATAGCATAAAATAGAAACAACCGAAAAATTAAAAAATTGAAAAATTTTAAAACCGAATATGTAATTGAAAAATTGAAAAATCCAAAATTTTAAAAATCGAAAAATTAAAAAATTATAAAATCTAAAGCCGAGAAGTCAAAAATTCAAATGATCAAGAATTCGAAACATCAAAAAATCGTACGACGGAAAATTTTAAAAAGTCAAAAAATATAAAAACCTAAAAAAACTGAAAAATCCATTAACTGAAAAATAAAAAAACGATAAATTGGGAAATCGCAAAATCCAGAAACTAAAAAATCCAGAAAAATGAAAAATCGAAAAATTGAAGAACCGAGAAATTGAAAAACTCCGAAATTGAAATGTTAAATCGGAACATCGAAAAATTAGAAAATGGAAAAAGTAAAAAGTCGAAAAATCGAAATACGAGAAATCGAAAAATCGAAACATCGAAAAATCGAGCAATTGAAAAATAGGAAAATCGAAAAATCGGGAAAATGAAGAATCGAAAACTTAAAAAAATTGAAAATTGAAAAGTTTAAAAATCTATAACTCGAAAAATAGAACAATTGAAAAATTGGAAAATTGGGAAACTGAATAAACGAAAAATTAAAAAATTGAAAAATCGAAAAATTAAAAATTGAAAAAATTGAAAACCGAATAATTGACAAATTAAAAAATCCCAAATTTTAAAAAACGAAAAATTGAAAAATCGTAGAATTTAAAGGCGAGAAGTCAAAAACTCGAAAAATCAAGAAATCGGAACATCAAAAAATCGTATATCGGAAAACAGAACTTCCCTAGCCCCTGAACCAAAGGCCAAATTTTATTTTCCAATTACCTCTAAAAAGTAAAAATCTAAAAACTGAAAAATGTAAACATTGAACAACCGAAAAATAGAAATTCAAAAAGTCGAAAAATCAAAAAATCGAGTAATCGAAACATCAAAAAATGGAAAATTCTGAAATTTAAAACATTGATAAATTAAAATTCGAAAAACCGAAAAATGCTAAAATTGGACAATTTCCAAGATTGAAATTTACAGAGAAATCAAAAAATTTAAAAAATCGAAAATCCTAGATGTCGAGAAATCGAAAAACTGAAATATTAAAAAATTTAGTAATATGGAAATCGAAACATTAAAAAATCGTATTATTGATAAATTTAAAAATTTAAAAAGCAAAAACTTGAAAATTCGAAAAACTGAAAAATCAAAAAAACGAGAAATCGCAAAATCCGAAATTTAAAAAATCGAAAAAATTGAAGAATTGAAAAACTGAAAAATCAAAACTGGAAAATGGAAAGATCGAGAAATCGAAATACCATTAAATCGAAAAATAGAAAAATCGGGAAACTAAAAAATTGAAAAATTTGAAAACCGAATAATTGGAAAATTGAAAAATCCAAAATTTTAAAAATTGAAAAATTGTAGGATCTAAAGCTGAGAAGTCAAAAAAAAATTTGAAAACCCAAAAAATTGAAGAATCCAATAACCGAAGAATAAAAAAAAAGATAAATCGAGAAATCGCAAAATCAAAAATTTTAAAAATCGAAAAAATTGAGGAACCCAGAAATTGAAAAATCGCAAAATTAAAATGTTAAATCGAAACATCGAGAAGTGGAAAAATCGAATCATCGAAATACCGAAACATCGGGAAATTGAAAAATCCCCAAAATTGAAATGTTGAAAATTTGCGAAGGGGATAACTTAAAAAATAGAGAAATCGAAAAATCCAAAAAATTGAAAAACTGAAACAGCGAAAAATCGAAACATTAAAAGATCGAGAAATCAAAAAGTCGAGAAGTCGAAAAATCGAGAAATCAAAATAGCATTAAATCGAAAAATTGGACAATTGAAAAATTGAGAAATCGGGAAAATGAACAACCGAAACATTAAAAAATTGAAAAATCGAAAAACTAAAAAATTGAAAAATTTCAAAAATCGAATATGTTATTGAAAAAATGAAAAATTCAACATTTTAAAAATCGAAAAATTAAAAAATTGTAAAAACTCGAAAGATCAAGAATTCGAAACATAAAAACCTAAAAAACTAAAAAATCCATTAATTAAAAAAAAACGATAAATCGAAAAATCGCAAAATCTAAAAACTAAAAAATTGGGAAAAATGAAAAATGGAAAAATTGAAGAACCGGGAAATTGAAAAACCCCAAAATTGAAATATTAAAACGAAACATCGAAAAACATATTAGAAAATCGAAAAACCGAGAAATCGAAAAGTCGAGAAGTCGAAAAATCGAATCATCAAAATATCGAAACTTCGAAATATTGAAAAATTCAGAAATTAAAAATTTTTTGAAATGTTGAAAATTTGAGAAATCGGCAACTTAAAAAATAGAGAAATCGAAAAATGAAAAAATTCAAAAACTGAAACAGTGCAAAATCGAAACATCAAAAAATCGAGATAGCATTAAGTCGAAAAACCGAAAAATTAAAAATTGAATAATCGATAAATCGAAAAATCGAACAATTGAAAAATTGAAAAATCGAAAAATCTGGAAATCGAAACATCAAAAAATCATATAACGGGAAATTTTAAAAAATCGAAAAATTTAAAAACCTAAAAAAATTGAAAAATTCCCGAAATTGAAATGTTGAAAAATTGAGTAACCGCTAAATTAAAAACTAGAGAAATCGAAAAATTGAAAAACTGGAACAGCGAAAAATCGAAACATCAAAAGATCGAGAAATCAAAAAGTCCAGGGGTCGAAAAATCGAGAAATCGACATAACAGAAAATCCAAAAATCAAAAAATTAAAAACTAAAAAATTTATAAATCGGGAAATAACATTTGAAACATCCAAATATAGATTAACCAAAAAAATAAAAAAAATTAAAAATGAAAAACTATAAGGTGTTGTATGTTGAAAACAATGTTATTAACTTCAGATGATTCTTGATCTGAAAGATAGTGTTAATGAATTTTTTCTGGGTATCAAAAATATCAAATTACCAGTTTTTAGAGTAACTATTATTTTTCTGTTCTGTGGCAGTTTTAGGTTTTTCAGATAATCAATTTCCAGGTGTTGCACAATGACCAGCAATGTCACCAGATCTCCCGCCACTTAATTTTCTTTTTTTCTTTGACAGTTTGAGTCAATGGTTGACATAACTGGACCAAACATTCCGAAAAAAAAACTGTATATTGACTTTTAGCTGCTTATATTATCTGCTGATGGATTATTGTTGCCCAAGAATTAACCCATGTTTCTATAGTGTTGTTTTTTTTTTGTAATATTTACATAAACTAACGAAAATATCTGTTGAAAATGTAAAGTAAAATTACAATATTATGTCATAGATTATGACACTTTTTTCTGTATAAACCTAGTTCCATGATTAGTCTATAAGATTTAGAAAATAGATTTTAAATAATGTAAAATAAAGCCCCCAACCTAAAAAATGGGGCTGAAGTGGCTTACATTTAGAAAAAAAATTGATTAGTAAAAAATGTCAACCGGTTAATCAATAAATATTAAGTTTAGTGCAAATGACTTTCAGATTGTTAATAACATTTAATCGATGTTGGTCTACGTAACCAAGGCCTCTCCTATAAATGGGTAGTAGCAAACAAGCTGACATTTTCTAAATTTATTAAAAAAATAAAATGTGCATTTAAGCAGCAAATTATCGCTTTACGGTAAATTAATTTTTCGGCGGGATTAAACGTGACTAATGCTATTATCTGATTGATAAAAAAAAATCAGACTACCGAATTATTTATTTTCACTTTTTTCCAAAATTATTTTAAACTCACTAGTGTCGAAAAGGGCTTATAGACGACCCCAAACCCGGGGGCTCCTCCCACCTGCGCCGCCACTGGTGCGGTCGCAATGGCGCGTTCCAGCCGAAAATCCTCAATCCGTGGATTTTATGTCTTGATTCCGCAAGTCGCAGGACCACTCGAACACAGCCTGCCGCGATTTTCGTCGGAATTTCGCTGGGGCTCCACACATGGGTCAAGGCATGGAGGCCAGGAGGCTTGCGGGGGGCGGCGGGCGCGGGGAGCGGTCGTAAGCGCGCTCTCGGGCGCCATTGCTGTGACGCGCACTTGTGTTCTGTTCTCGTCCAGTGACGACCGCCCAGAAATTTTGACGTTGTTACTACGTATAGCCCGCTTACCCACTCCGATCGCTGCAAACTCGGTGACGACGAATACGTAAGTGGTAAGTACCCAGCTGAAGAATAATAACACGGTGCCGACGTGGTCCAGACATCCCTTTGGAGGTGGTGATTCAGTATAGCCAGTGTTTTGTGCGGACGTTTTAACGATGTCGACGAGCCGTTTTGCGACTTTATTGGAAAAGGTATTGAATATGGCGTCATTTTCGTCGAAATGGTCGCGTTTTAAATTTAGATATACGGACGGACGCACGTTCGCGTTGGACATTTTTCGGGATTTTTCGACGCCGCCACCGCTGTCAAAACGGCGGTTTTGTGTCGAGGCTTGCTTGATGCTGCTGCACGCCGATTTGCTTAGTCATGATTATTTTGTTGGCTTTGATTTCCATCGGAATTGGGGTTAGGATCGGACAATGTCAAATGTGACATTTACGCACGGATTTTTTCAGCGGGCTCGGATTACTCCACTTCCTCGACATGGGGTGACTATTTATTGGTATTTATAGCCCGAATAAAGGCATAAATTCTACCGACTTACACTCAAGTGCTGTGCTAATATGTGTGCTGGATTTTGCTTACATAATAACGGTGTTGTTTTGCACCAGGGTTTTAAATTATAACGCAATATTGCGCTAAATTGATCATAAATTTTTTTATCACCTTGCTTATTAGAAACGGGCGGCAACCAACAATACGTCCATCTGCATTCCTTTCACAATCGCTGCACCAAACACTTATTTATACAATATTAAACAACCAAACATTTTACAAACAAAAACCCCATTTCTTTACACAATTAACCGCCAAATCTATATTAAGACATATGACTTGCACTGCTAAACCTGTTAACCAATGAGGTACGAGTTCTGACGTGAGTACACAAAAAAATAAGAATTCTTAATTAGGGTCTAAATTGTACAATATTAAAACACGCACGAGTTCATCAAATGAAAAACCTCATTTGTGTGTAAACAATGGAATTTTCTGTGAATTTCGCTCAAGAGTTTTTATTTCCCAAGTACGTACCAAATGACGTCATACAAGTAAAAATATAAATTATCTATCCTATCCTCAAATGTAAAACGCTGATAAATTGTTAATCTAAAGTAGATTTGTTTACTGACGTCTAAATGTGTGCAGCATAATCACCCTGTAAAATCATGCTATGCGATTTTTATCGACACCATTTTCCACATGGTAGCACTGTTTACAAATAATAGTTTCCACCTTGAGGCAACATTAAAAAAAAATTATTGACGTATGTGTAGTTTTTGTTTTTCAAAATATACGCGACATATACCAGAAAAGTTACAAAAATTGTGCTACATAAAACCTATGTTTTGTTTATTTATGTATTTATACATCTATTTGCATTTTGACGCCAAACAGGATATTCAAATAGGCTAAGGTTGCCTAAAAGTTCGCTCCTATCTAGGACTAAATGTCGAAATCAATCGACATAATACAGCCGATTGTTCTTCCGGCCAGCAGATCTATAAAAATCATCACCAGTAAACTTAAAGGTTTCAGAAACTGACTAAAATACACCAGTAGTTAAAGATAAGAAATTGCCATTTCCGACGAAGCCATAAACGCTTTTGTAACCAACAAAACCGCTATATTTATCACCTTATTACAAGACATATAACGATGTTTTTCTTTTCTTTTTTAAAGAAACAGCGACCCAGTGTTTGTGTTGACATAAACGCACTCTTTTTGTGTCAAAAAGGATAAATATTACGTGCGAAGTATTCTCAGTAGTGCATAAATAAAGCACATAATGAAGTGGGCGTTAACTTTTACAGCTCTATCGGATCAGACGTATCAATTTGTCAAATTGACGTTACGTGTCAATTTTGTTTATAACGAGCACGTGTGTTATAACAGTTCCACCTTTTTGACATAATCTGCCCAAGGTTTTGTTGGTTAACATTTAAAAAAACTATGAAAGAAAATCGTCATATACTAGTAGATTATACGTGATTACGCTTAAAAATTCGATTTATACGCAAACATTAAATTCCAATCACGAAATGTGCGTTTTACGCAATCATTTGGCGATTAGGATATTACCATAATTAATTAAGTTTTGTTAAAACCGCGATTTTTATGACTTTGCATTACGATAGTAATAAAATATTCATATTTCGTCGGAATATCATTTATAAGTACGCTTCAACATTGAATTGTAAATTATTGGGATCTATTACGTAAAAGCTCGACTGAAAAGTATTCAAATGTGAACTTTATTCTTTGTCGCTCTCATAAATTAGAAAAGTGACGCAAACTATAATCCAACAAACAAATAAAATTTAGTTCAATTTTTCTCAGCTGCAAAAATTTACGAAAAAGAAAAACGTGATGTAATTATGGTAGAAGTAAAAAAATGTACTTGCCTGTGATTACATGTCAGACTGGTTTTTTCTACACCAGAAAAAACTCTTGACGCAAGCAATACAATTTTGTGAAATATTAAAATCGAACAAGCAGCTACCATTTTTACTGTAATGTATTCTTCGAAGCGCTAAGGCACATTATTGCTTTATTACATTTGACAAACTCGAGACAATAATGTGAAGTGCGCCGCGTAAGTTAAGGGTGTTTCAGAAGTTTGCATGTTTGATAAATTCTATGTAAAAGTAATTTCTTGTACCAAATACGCAAATAAGCTTATTGTTATAAATTTTAAATGACAAATTTCTCTGTGTAACACAACACCTGTCATCTTTTTTTTTTAATTTTGATGAAATTTTTGATCACGGATTTTTAAAAATCAGTTATTTATGGAAATTTCGGAACGCGGTTTTCTCCACTTTTTGAGCTTACAGTTGGTTTATGAACGGTAATATAACCATAGTGCGTTCTAATTGGAATTGACAGTGTCCTAACCCATAACAAATATATTTTATAATTTATAATACCGGTAAGTCCTCTGAAATTATTTATTAATGTATATATGCCTACATATGTTTCGGTATTTTAATTAGTGAATACCATCGTCAGATCTACAAAAAGTATGCTGGTTTTGGAATAGTTTTATATAATTTAGAGCTTACCATAATATGTAGAAAACGTCACACCCAAAATACAAAAAAAATTACGTTTTTGCAAAGATACGTATATCATTTTGGAGAGGTGCGTATAATAAATACATACTAATGATAACAGTATTGTATTCCTAAATTTTTGGGAAAACGGAGTGGGCCGATCCCGATTTAATCAATAAAATAAATTGACTCGTTCATTAATTTTTATGAGTCACACTGTATAAGAAATTTAAAAACTTTTAATGCAAGCATAGACCCATTATATTTTGCACATCTTGGATAGAATTTATTCGGCAAAATTTCGAAATGACGTTATCAATCTTTTGGGAGGGGATAAACGACTAAATTTTGTTTTGAATTTTTTCCAAATTCGACACGGATTCATACACCACAAGGGCAGGAGTATCTTACTTTATGAAATAAAGAAAAAACTTTATTATAAATTTTGGAGATGACGTCATCCCATTGGTGGTGGGGACGATTAGCCAAATTTTAGTTAGTATTTAACCATTCACATGATATTCCTAATAGACATACACAATTTGACAAAAATCGGTCCAGTAGTTCCGATTACTTATCTAATAAAAGTGGATACAGACAGACAGACAGACGGAAACGGGAGACCACTTTTTTCGTACTCTAAAGGTCATGACACGTCGAGAAAATATGAAAGTAGCAATTCGGCCTATGGACTCGATTACTATACTTCCTTAGCTTACGCTCGGGAAGTAATACAAAAAATTGGCCGAACACGTATATCAATTTGGATTGGTGCGTTCTAATATTAAAAATCACAGTATTGTATTCCCAAAGTTTTCTGGGAAAATGGAGTGAGCCGTTCCTGATTTAATCAATAAAATAAATTGACATATTCATTAATTTGTTTAAGCCACCTGTATACCTAAAGCAAATCTAAAAAAATATGAATGCAATCATAAATCACAAGTAAAAACTCATCATAATTTCCACATTTCGTGCAGACTTAGGAATTTAACTCGTTACTATGGAAATTTGTAATTTAACACCCTTAAATTTCACCAAGTTTTTAGAAGATTAATGGGGGCACAATCAGTTTTATCTTAACAAATACTAGGCCCGCCCACCCACCCCCCATTTTCTCAGAGGATATGTCATCTGCCCAAATAAGTCTTATCTTAGCAAGCCCTGCCCACCCACCCTTTACTTTCTTAAAGGGTATGTCATTTTCCAAAATCAGTCTGATTTTACAAAGTACCCACCCCTTTATTTTCTCAGAAGGTACTACCTGCTACTACTTGCTAACGTAAGTCTTATTTTGGCAGATCACATATAATCTGAAAAAATAGGGGCGGGTGGACGGGCCTAGTACTTGTTCAGATAAGACTGCTTTTGGCAAATGCCATGTCCTGAGAAAATAGAGGGCGGGTGGGCGGGGCTACAACTTGCTAAGATAAGACTTATTTCGGCAAATGACATCCTCTGGGAAAATAGGGGGCGGATGGGCGGGCCTAGTATTTTTTAAGATAAAACTGATTTTGGCAAATAACATACATTCCGAGAAAGTAGGGGGCGGGTCGGCGGGGCTAGCACTTGCTAAGATAAGACTGATTTTGCCCCTGATTGGATATTTATTTTTTAACAACTCAGTCATTATTTTTTTTGAGACACCCTGTATAAGCAAATTTATAAAATATGAATGCATTTATTAAATCACAAGTGCAGACTGACCATATTTTGCACATTTTAGATACAATGTATCCGGCAAAATTTTGAGCTGACGTCATCAATTTTTTGGAAGGCATAAGTAAATATATTTTAATTAAAAATTTATCATGACTATCATAACCTTTAAACATCTGCAAGATTTCAAAGCATTCGTTGGGCAGATTCAAAATTAAATTGCAAAATCAACATTTTGATTGCAATTGATTTTTTTTTCCAAAAATCTGGATATTTCGGTTAAAAACTCAACACGGAGTCATAAACTACATGTGTAGGACTATGTTATTTTATACAATTTAAAACCCAAAACACGAAAATCACACTAACAAAAAAAAAATGCAGTCGAGTCTACCAACTTTAGGTCCATCAATCTTAGAACAAAAAACATCTCAGACGTTCTAAAATAAATATATTTTCCAGAACTTAACAAAGATTTCCTCAGGTGTAGTTCTAAACTTCATAAAATCCATCCACAACCTCAAAATATACCCACACGTCACAAGCTAATTAAACAAATACTTACAATCAAATAATAACAATAAACTTTATTACCGGGAACTCCTTCATATTTAATAAATGAAAAATATGTAGGAGTATTAAATTAAGATAAATACAATTAAATTAAATACAATAAACATTAAATTAAATCAAACATCCTACGTAAGGTAGTAAAAAAAAGAAAGAACATAGAACAAAAATAATAATAATAAAAAAAGAAATATAAAAAATATATAATACAGCATAGTTTCGCGCCAAAATACCAACCTCTTAAGTTAACACCATAATCACAAAACCACCCACACAACATAACCTCAAAAAGAACATCCACAATAAACATATACACAGACATCTATAGCAACTTGGTAAGCCCTAAATTATATACAACTATTCCAAAACTAACATACCTTGTGTAGGCACCAATTAAACTAGCAAACATATGTAGCCTAACTTATACATTAATAAATAAGACTTAACCATTTTTGTTATATTAAATATTATATAATAATGAACAGCGGTTGATCTCAACACATCGTATGAGAGAATTTGCAGCTGTAAATGTATTGAAATTTTCAGCAGGATTTTTTTAATATTGAAACTTTTACACTCGAAATGCGACGAAATTGTAAAAAATATTTTAAAAAAAGTACATATTTGGTAACAATATTTGCTTTTGAGGTATTAATCGAGTCCATTGCACGACTTGCCATTTTCATGTTTTCTAGACGTTTCATGACCCCTAGAGTACGCGGTTCCTGGGATGGACCCTATTAAAATATTTTCCGATTCTAAGCTAATGAAACAAAACTTCAAATAGGAAATAAATTGTAAGATGCGATGAAATTTTAACAAAAAACAATACTAGATGCCAAAGACAAAGATTATGAATTATACATATATGGACTTCTTAAAAAAATCGATGCTTCGTTAAAAGTAAAAAAAAAAAGAAAAATTGTATTACTCATGGGTTTACACGCTGCCAACTTAATCTGGAATTATGAACAACAGCCACTGTACAACGACAATTGTTGTTATTGTATTAAGAGAGCAATAAAAAACACGATCAAAAATAGCCAGAGGTTTTTGAAAGTTTGTCTTTGATCATTGCATTTTCTACTGAAACTTTCAAATTAACGGTGATGAAAACACGTCTTATGCAAGGATTTGTAAATGATGTGTTTAAATTAGACTTGCAGTTTTCCTATAATAGTGGACGGCAAATAAAGATCTTATGCATCTATACCTACTTATACCGGGTATGAGTTTTGTCTGTATCGCAGCTGTTTCTGAAGCCTTTGTGTAACTAATCTCCGTTAAATTGCAGACTTTGCTGTCAGACTAATTTTTTCCTGTCATCACCATACCTTGATAATCAACTGAAGCTATATTTTGTGCAACCTTCAGCCAGATTTGTTTTTCAAGTCTTTAATTTAAGATGTTCGTGTTCGTTTTGTTTCATCCAACCACGATCGTAAACCAATTTTTTAGCAAATAAAATCACTTTTATGGTTATGTTTGTGAAAGAAAGATCGTAACATTATCAGAATAGTGCTAAATAATTAGAATCGGCGTCACACACGGCCGCGTTATCATTCTACTTTTCTACCATTAGTCACTTGCCAACTTTGTATATTTTTACCTAATGTTAAAACAGAAAACTGTTGGTGACACGTACCTCATGTATTAATCCTTATTAAAAGAACAAACACCTTCATTGTTGCTTGTTTAAACTGGTGTTCGTTATCATTATGACCTGTTTTGGCATTAAACAGGTTATAATAATTTAAAAAGTCAATATTTGAAAGCGCACGTTAATGCAGGGTGGTTATTTTTACTATGTGCGCTTACGTCACGCGAATAAGTAGCTCACACCCAATCGAATTTCACCAATTTAAAAAAAAATCGACTCGAAATCCGGTTTTCTAAATGACGTAACGCGAATATTAATAAAGCTTTAAGGTCACGTGTCGACGCATTTTCGCGTTTTGATGAAATGTGTTGTTTTCAGGTGCTTTTGTACTTAGGCAATGGAAGGGATAGTGGAAGAGAACGGAGCAGTTGATCCACTGGCCCCATCGCCGGACCCACAGTCGCCCATCGCATCGGTAGGGGTCTCAAACTCCCAGTCCCATCTGATGACAGCTACTAACATTGTCCAACTAACTTTGCCCACTCAAACCCAGGCACAGGTAGGGGTCTCCCACCCCACCGTGCATGATCCCTCCCCCTCCCCAAATCAGAAACGGGTACCAGCTCTTTGGTTTGCAGGTGCAGAGCGTCATACAACCCAACCAGCAATCCGTCATACAAACGGCCGCGAACATACAGCCTATGCTAGGGAAAGGAAACGTCATACTTGTCAGTAAACCAAATTCAGTCATACAGACCACGCAAGGGAGTCTCAGCGGGCTGCAGACGCTGCAGGTCAAAGTGAGTCAGTTTTGACGCTATTTTGACGCGGTTCTGACACATGGGCTTGCAGGTTGTGGAGACGGCGAGTGACGACAGCTTCTCGGAGGAGGAATCGCCCAAAAAGAGGAGGGACCTGTTGACCAGGAGGCCTTCATACAGGAAGATTCTCAACGATCTTGGCGGGGGTGAGATTGCTGGTATGTTATTTTTTGCATGTCTTGGGAGGCTCTTGATGTTTTGGAAATTTTAACACTTCTTTTAGTTCAGTTCATATTCAGTAATTTGTAAGGACGTATTTGTTTTAAGTGTGAGGTATTTTTTTTTTATTTTTTGTTCTTTTATTGCATGCGCTGGATTGTGGGTATGGGTGGGAAGCCCGATGCGATTGTTGCAATACTGTTCAGTTTGCGGTCGGTTAATTTTTTTATCATCGTTTTAGAGTGTTGTTGCAGCAATCATTCCATACCCATGAACGTTTTCTGTTTTCCAATTGTGCATGGATAGACTGTTTCATTTTATGGATTATTAACATGGCAATATAACGTATCAGCGTATCGGTTTTATCAGTGTCGTAAATTGTGACTCACGTCTTGATATTTTATGTTGCCATAAGAGCTATTGTTTTATCCAAATGTGGAATCTGACTTGATCGTATTTTATTTGAATTTGCATGCATGGGCTAAAAGGATATTTTTTATTTGGATTCTTTGTTACTAAGTAAACATGGGCATTTCAAAATTGTGCAGTAATAAGGTGACAAGTAGTAATAAAGACGATGGTGTTCACAGAAACCAAGGTTGAACAAATTTCCTCAGAAGCCGACAGTGAGTTGTCCTCACACTCTATCCCATACCACACAGGTTAGTTTAACGAGAAAAATGTAAGCACCTAACTCCATCCAGATTAGCCCAAGCACTTAGTCCACTAACACTTCCTAAAAGTGTATAGACCATCAGATTATCTATCTCATTCAGTCAATTCTGTACACTTTTAATTAGCATGCATTTTTTCAGTGCTATAATTTCATTCATTAAACATAAAATAACCGAAATTACGAAATCAAATTTCGAAAAACTACATACACGTTCTTTTGTTACAGTGCTGCCGGGAACAGCGATACAAATATCAGGGGGTAAAGGTGCACAGGGTATTCACACTCTAACCATGACGAACTCGACGGCAGGTGGCGCGATCGTGCAATACGCTCAAGGGCAAGAATTTTTCGTCCCCGGTAAGTAACAATCGCTGATCTGCGAATCGCGTCTAACGCATAATTACAGTAGTAGCACAAGGGGGCAACATCGGCAGCGGTAACGGAGAGGACCAGGACAGGAAGCGCGAGATGAGGCTACTAAAAAACAGGGAAGCGGCGCGAGAGTGTCGAAGAAAAAAGAAAGAGTATATAAAGTGCCTAGAAAATAGGGTGGCGGTGTTGGAAAATCAAAACAAAGCGCTAATAGACGAACTAAAATCGTTAAAAGAACTTTATTGCCAACAGAAAACAGAATGAGGTTGGTGTTTTGTTTTTACAGTGGTGAAGGACTATTTTACCAAGGGAAACTGGCCGAGTAGTATAGCTTTATGCTAATAAAGGTTGATCAGTATGTAACTACAAGAATAGTGCAATGTCAAATTTTTGTTTAATTGTGCACATGCTCGATTTTTTCTTCATAGCTTGGTTTAAGCGTTACCTGGGTATGGTGTCAAATTTTCAGGATTTAGTTGACCAAAGATTCAAAAGTTTTAAAATAGAACGTTGGACTAATGTTTAAAATGATATGAGATATCTTAAATTGCATTTTACTTATGATCTGTACATCTAGGTTAAATAGTGTAAATATCGAAATTGTTATTTTTAATTGAAAGTTTATTTCGTACGTGCTCCAGTTGAATACAACATTGTATATTATGTATCATAATATTGGACAGAAAAGGCTTGTGAAACAATTAATATATTTTATAAGAGCCGATGTAAATATTGGTAACAAACAACTGTTGTATAAACTATTTATTTTCAATTGTCCAGACCTGATGGAGTGCCTTCTTAGATTTAATTTAAATAAAACTAATATTTGGTAACATTACAATTCAGTTTATGTGCCATCAGTCCCTTCAGCTATTTTCGTGGTAATGTTACAAAATATTTAATATAAAAAAAATGGAAAAATTAATGGTCTATTAGGCTTACTGAGTGTACATAAATGTATGTATGTAATATATTTTTACATATCGAATGGAAATATCTTAAGTACTTTTGCACCCAAAGTAACTTTATGGATCTATTGTTTCCTTTGACCCATTTGTTTTCCTTGCTGGTTAAATAATGATGCCTTGTTATTTACAGACAGTATGGAATGTAAGTAGTCTGCATTGTTATTCCATATAAATTCTTGTTTGCTATTTTGGTAGGTAACAAATTGTACATAAGATTATTATTAGATGTTAAAAGTATTAGTTGAATGATTTATTGTAATAAAGTGGATATTTTATTTACTCGCATTTTAATTTTTCCTTTTTCAGCGGAATGGCAACATTACAAAGTATACCCCGGAAATTTAGCTTCCATAGGCTGCTGAAGATCAAGGAAGAGATACATAGGACCCGACACCCCTTCAAATAATGAAAGCGGCCGATCAGGAGTATGTTCGACGCGAGACTGATTATGATCAAAACACCACTCTGCAAACTTGATCGCTCTATACAGGTGCTTCTCGTCCTAAAAAAAATCACAATTTTTACACGTTGAGTTCACAGGAGCTTTAAATTAAGTTGTTTAATCCGAGACGACAGCGTAGCTGGTGAAACGCGTCACCCAAAAAAAATATATAATTACTTGAGTAGTTTGATACAGCTCCAAAAAGCAGTAGGCGTTTCCTGCAACCCCATGACAAATGCTGTACCCTTTTCTCAAAAGACCTCTAGCCCAAATGACTTCTCCACAATCTAAGGCTATTTGTAAATATTTAGGGTTGCCAAAAACCTTGAAAAAATATTTATACAAGACTTAAGTCACATATAAATTCATACTTTGTAAGCTGTGCTAAACAAGTACAAGAAACCGGGCGCCCCGTGACACCACTGTACATATTTATCTTGTTCTCTGCCAATAGAAGAAGGAAAATTTCCACTTGGGAACCTCATACCATCCAAATAGTCAATAGTAGGTTTGATAACAGTGTTAAGCTCAGTTTCTGTAAGATATTCTTTAGCCTGTAAAAGTAGATACAAAATCCCGGCCAACCCGTGCGCTGCACCCAAATAATAACTTTCATGCCACTGGTACATCAAAGGACATTTAAAATTGCCCGCTTTCGCCTCGTTTTTTCCACAAATAAGAATACTTTCAATGATCTAAAAAAGCAATAATCAAGCAAAACCAACAAACAAAATTACATACTTTTCTGACAAAGTTTTCATCAAAAGGCGGGGGCGAAATGTGTTTGTTTACATACAAAACCGCAAACAAATACCCGGCGCGTCCATACAAATACTCATTGGCTAAATCAGAGTTTATATTTAGTACATCCTCCTCCATCGCTCTAATACTAAAAGCGCACACTTGACTTTAATGTTACTTAAACGTAGTACCCACCTCTGTACACACTGCATGTACGTTTTATTACCCAATTTGTAATCAATCACTGCAGCTATAGCCAGTGGACCTGTGTCCCCACACAAAAACGTGTGTCGCTTCTTCCGCAATCTATGCAAAGATAGAAGCTCTTTTGCCTCCTACAGGACACACGGTGTTATAAATATAAAGTATAAAAGTCCTATACCTGTAGATTTTGCTTGCTTTGATCATCTTTTTTTAATTTTAGCAGCGCTATCCCGGCAGTTCCTGTATACACAGAATAGTCATTAAAATCAAGGTGTTTGAATTGCGCCAGAGTATTTTTCCACTTTTCTTCCAGTTTACAGGCCACCTTGCAATCACACTTTATCTGTAAACAAGTCGTAAAAGTTGGGTTTGGGTTTCCTGGGATATACCTGTCCACTGTCGATGACACAACAAGCCGTGTCTTCACAGAAGTCTTCAAACGGGTTTTCGAAAAACCTGTCTCGCGACATATTTAAGGTTTTTCTTTTAAATAAACCCCTGAAAATATTAATATTGTTTTGTTTATTTACCGGTTTGACAGCAACTTATTTACTAACAAAACGTCAATGTCATAACATCTAGGGAGTTTTGGCCACATTACGTAATATCGCGATTCGCATTTTTAGTGCTTCTTTTTCTTTGTATATTTTTTTTGAAGTCGTAAATCGAGTAAATATGGTGTATGTTGCATTCTGTTGGCAGAGGATTGTTTTATTTAAACTTATTTGGTAATCGATTTTTGTGGTTAGTTTGATTGCCCTCACTGTGTCACTAAAAATGCCTGTCAAAAATCTGTCAATGTCATTTTTAGCCAACCACTATTTTGTTGATAAAGCAACGTTTTTCTCTAATATTTTGTGAAAAAAGTGATGGAAATGAAAGAAGGGCCCATTTTATACGTGGTTGTGGTTGGATTTCACCATAAAAAGGGTTGTCAGGTTCGGTTTGTCCTACTCGGTTTTGCGTGATTAATTAATTATGTGTAGGTGGAATTTTCATTTCCACCTCTAGTTCCAGGCTCCCCGAACGAGTGTCCCCCGGGATGGAAATATCTTCCCACACTTGCTTTACCTGATGGATCTCATAATTACGATGATGATACAGTCTTCTTCCACTTACCTAGTTTAACTAACCCTAGGCAAACAGTATTTGGTATTTCTTGCTTTAGGCAAATACCAATAGAGGTACGTGTCGCACTAGTATCATCACCTTACTTTTATTGTTTTTATAGAAAATAAAAAATCGCACTTCTGACATGACTAGAGGAACTATTCAAAAGTCAGTTTGTGTTCTGAGTAAAATACCTCTCTACGGACAAATACAAGTGAAAATGAGTCTTATAACGCACGCTTATTTTGACGAGGGTGATTTTAGTAAAGTCTCAATATTAGAGGACACATACCACCACTTAAACTCAGTTCTAACTCAAAACGATTTTCATCAACAAATTTTTGTTGGTTGGTAGCCACAAGTTATAAATTTTCTTTTTTTAAGGTGTCTTTCTAGGTTTATCTGCAAGGGATTTCGTGTTGCAGTGGCGGCACAAAGCCGTGCTTTTATTCAAATTGTTGTTACTCGAACGGCGATTGATTTTTTACAAGTCGCCGGTTCACCCTCTCTGCTCAACCATCTTGACTTTAACGTCTCTATTCCCAGAAATGATTGAGAAAGGCATGGGCCAATCAGCCTGTATACGATTATCGCGACCAATGTCACCGATGCCTGAATTTTCCGATAGTGATAACTCCCAAAGTTCTAGTCCTGTTAAAACTCAGATTGAAAACATTGACAATACTAATCAAAACATAATTAGCGATGAAGTCAAAACGAAAGAAATGAAAATATTGGAGCACAGAGAAAACGAAGATAAGAAAGAAGTGAAAGGAATCACGGAAGTCGGAATTGAGATAACTGAGTCAGCACAAGATAATGAGGAAAATTTGAATGGGAAGAATAATAGTTTGCAGAGGGAGCTCAGTTCGGACACGATCGCCGACTCAGTACACAATAATATGGCATATTTAGCACACCTTAGTACTTCTTCCTGTGGTTTTCCTTTGACCATATTCACCAAGGGTTTTATGTGCCTCCCTTATTTATCACTGCCATACTTAGATTTACTGACTGATATTAACGTAAGGGGATATGTTGTAGGCGCCACGAATATTTTATTTAAACAAAAAAGTCAACTGTATGACGTTTTAGTAGATATAGATGCAGGTAGAATAGAGTGCCAGGACGTGGAATTGAGAAAGCAGCTACATTTGACCACAGAAGACTTACGGTTCGCGGATTATGTGGTCAAACATGTCTCTGAAGAAAGACACGACGTGTTTTTGGACGGAGTGGGGTGGGAGGGCGGCGACGAGTGGATCAGGACGCAATTTCGAATATATTTACTTTGCCTTATGCGGACTTCACTCTTACAAGGTTTCTCTTTATAACAATTATATAGAGTGGTTATTTAAAACTGAACGTGTTACTCACCATTCGCATTTTTCCATTATAATCAGTGCTGTGTCATTTGAAAAACTAGCGAACAGTTTACTTGAATTTCACTTCGCCGAATTTGTGTGTCACTAATTACTGAAACGAAAAACAACAAGTTCAGACGTAAATGACCATAATTTTAACAATAATATATAAAAACGGTTACTTTTACCTAAAGTGACTTAATAACTTGTCAATTTTTTTTTATTTTGGACACTTGATGCAATAGTTACAAGTTCTGATTTTAGATGGCAGTAAGGAAATTGAACATTTCAACACAAATTTCGTCTCTTCTTGGAGAGAGACGCACAATTACAAAATATGGTTGAGTGGGATCAACCCAGGAATCCTAGACGTAAATCCCGGTCATCCCTTTGCCGGGCAGCTTTCAGTGGCTGACATGAAACTAAGACTGGCGCAGTAAGAGTTGATATCGCTTGCTTTGTTAGAACTAATTTGCGATTTTAAGCACTATGCAAAGTTCGGATAGTGGCAGGAAGTTCAATCAAGCGATGGTTTCGACGGGGCGAGCCGTGGCGACGACGAGTAAAGCCGTGGGAGGGGCGATTTCTCAAGCGAAGGGGGTGTTTTCGAACTGGTGGAGTAATTTATTAGTGAGCCCTGAACCTGTTCAAAAAGCTTTGGAAGCTTTTCCTGATAATACTATGCAGATAGAAGATTCCACAATTGATCAAAACATTCCAAAAAGTATTAATAAAAACTTAAGCAATGGTAATATAGACAAAAGTAGTTTTAGTGAGGGAGGGTCTGAGTGTTCCTTGCCAAATAATATCCACCAGCCTGGGGAAGTTCACACTGTTTAAAGAACACAAGCTGGTGGGTTTTATTTATTGATGTTATTGTTGTGATCTTTTGTTATGCTAAATAAGACTACAAGCGATTCCCGTAGGGCGACTCAAAACATTCAATAGTTTATATAAATACAAAGTATTTTTAAAATATTATGCAAATCGTGCATTGTAGAATCAAAATAGATGAACCGTTATTGTAAGTACTTAAACTTTTCATTTTCCTTTTTTTATTTTTGTATTTTTCATTTTATGAGAAATTTTATTTGGCTGTTACGTAATGTTAAGTTATACATAATAAATATTATTACGATTTTAAGTGTTCTCATTCGACTATTTTCCCGGCGAATCCACCAAAATTGCATTTGCGGTGATCGAATTAAGCTCCGCTAACCTACAATTTAAGAACAGTTTTAACCACAAACTTTCTATTTTCGGTGAACTGGAAACCCTTTATTACCAGTCGGGTAAATCGTGCGTAATTATTTTACAGATAAACGAGTGGACTTTGCGACATTTAAACTCTTATCACAAGCTTTTAAACACCCATTTCGTTACAAAAATAACAAATTCCAGATCTTTGTCGGCGCCCTTATATAACTCGACCAATTCGTTTGTGATAGTAAAAAAGATTACTTGGAACTATTGCATGCGATTTTTTTACATCTATACGTATATGAATATGCACGCAAACTGGCATGTATTGAAACGTTTCAGTACAAACCCGTACGTAAGTATCCAATTAAAATTGTAAAAATGTAAATTTAAACGATTCAGTTTGATTAACAATGCTCAAAACGTTTGACCCGTTTTTGAAACAGAATTTAAGTAGCTCTCGATATACTTTATACTTGACCTTTTACCTTGTGAGGCGATGAAAGTAGAAAAAAATGTGAGATTAAACAATGGAAAATTTTAAAGACGATCATTTTTACCATGACCAGGAAAAGCGACGGAATGTAAATGTCTCATCAAATATTTAAATATGTCATTACTATTATATCGATTTAGCAGTCAATAATTAATACCCAACATTCTTTTTTCCGTGAAGTTACAAAATGATCGATCAAGAAGAATGCGGTCGAATGTTTTTATTTAAGTAGAAAACGGTGTAAGAATTTGTGTAAATATTTAAAGCTAGATATTGGGCGCCATTTCCACAGATACAAATTATTTTTAGCGTTTTTGCAAAAGAAACTGTTTCGAAGTCGATCTTTGTTTACAAGTTGGCTTCCGGTGCTCTTCAGGTGTTGGAAGATTAACGGTAAGTGGATGTTTCATTTTCTTGGTAAACAAAAACATAGTCCTTGGAAATATTTACTCAAACACGTTGTGGATTATTTTGAACACCGGGTATTTAATCGTAAAATATAATAATTATCAATGAGCGACGCACGTTTTTAAAAACTGTCTGAGGTTGTAGTTCGTGAATGGTTGACACCGCGATTTATAGTCGTTCGTGTTTGCCCCACTTCTCTCCCCACTCCAGACGAGAGAGAAGTGGGGGTGGGATTTAGGACAACATTCTGTTATGGTGGAGCGAACACCGTTAGGGTGTCAGCATCGAAATATGGATATAGGGATGGTCGGTGAGGCAATTTTATTTCAGTACGTTAATATTGTGATGCCTCAGCCTCAAATATGTTAATTATGACACGCTGACTTCTGGATGAAGAAAATAATTTTTGTTAAATGATCTTAACTTACACACAGAATGGTCAGAAAATAGCGAATCAGTTGCAATCAAATTTTCAAAATAACGAAACTTGAATATTTCAAGTACTCAGCAAAATTCTGATCTAACTATATTTCTAGTGGTTATTTCAAGCATTCCGTCAGTTGCACAAAGTTCGTGATAAAAATATGTGGTTCGTTAATTCCCTTATTAGTCGACTTTCTCGGAAAAACTGATAAACCCGAAATATGATACAAATTAGATATGAAAAGGTTGCCATACTACAAACGTGTTTATAAAGATTAAATCCTTCCAAATTCCAAAATTGAGAAAAGAAAGTGTTCACGCTAAGGTAATATTTCTTTTAAGTATTTATTTAAAAAATAAAGCTAATTCATTGGAGCTATTTAAACTCCATGTTTGGAGTAGGTAGATACATTCCAACTTTTTACCATGCACGGATTTGTACATATTGTAAGAATGATTATAGCTATTAAGTTTAGGTTTATTTGAATCGTGTAGTAGTAGCAACAACAAGAGTCAAAATATCAGAAAATACGATATTTTGATTGTGTTAAATATTCACGACTCAGAAATGTCGTAAACTTATAGTCAAATTTTGCAAGAAATGATGTCATAATCATAATCGTCGTTTATAACAAGATATGAAAAATATTTCAGATTTAAAGAACAAACAAGAGCAGATGGTCTGTATCTACATTGCAGAGTAGTAGGTTCAGATAACTTTTGTTACTACTTATCTGAGTTGTATATGTTTTATCAGTTGTTTTAGTGTTGTTGCTATTATTATAAACTAGTTGTATACATTGTTACGATAATTATGGATAAAGTAATGAAAGTATATACAAAATTCGGGTGCTAAATGAATTCGATAGTAGACCACTTCAGAAAAAATATGTCCTTAAATGGTAAGCTTGACGTTTTAAAGTTTTCTGTGTTTTAATTTAAGGAGGAGAAATTCTAGAGCACCTAGTATCTACAAAGTTTAGCTTCTTTTACGACTGTTCACTTTTGCCAAACATTTTATTGATTTCTTATTATAATTCTCCATTTTACTGTTTTCATTTCTTCTTTATAGTCGGTCTCCATTCGCCAAATAAGTTTATCGTCAATATTTACTGATACTCTTTTTCTGTTGTCGACTTTAGTTTATTTCTCGAGCCGTAACTATTTCCAGAAATTGTTAATAGTGTCGTTTATGGTTACAACCATAACAATCTTTTAAAACCCTCTCGCAGTTTTTCTTTTATTTCTTCCGTAGAAAGTTTGCGAGCAATATTTAGATTACTCTTGAATCTCGTTCTAATTATCGTCTTCAGTGAGGTAAAAGTGCACGAAATTAAGTTTCTAATGGTTAAATATTTTTGTGAAATCGTTGCAAATTATTTGACTGGTTATTAATTTGCACAAAATACCACAGTTCTTGGTGTAAATGTTTTTTATTCAAGGATATAATAGGTGGATAGAAGTGGATACGTTTGACGATACTTGATAAAAAATATATGTGACGTCGTTTTAATTAATTTTTAAAATGAGACAAACAAGTTAAACTGGTAAACTGTTTTATAAATTCCCCTTGCGTGCAGACATTTAAACATTATCAAACTAGAGTATATTAGAGTATCACGGATAATCATAAGCAATCGTCACGACGAAAGAATTTCGATAATATTTTGAGCCGAATCTGAATTTTAAAAATTATCATGATAAAAAACCTCAACTTTACAGTATCGTATCTAAAGTTGAAAACTTGAAATCCAAGATTTTTAAAAAACAGTTTTTGGTTAGTTCTTTATTTCTTCAAATTTGGATGCTAGTAAAATTTTCCACCTTAGTTTTTATACAAACAGTGCGTGATTTTACTATCCAGGGATTGTAGACGATACAAAAAATAGCATGTCTGGATGTTATTCATTCCATATCTCATCTCACTGTCGTTTTTTGTTGCAACATCAACGCTATTAAATTTCAGTTCACTTACAATCGCTTTCACGATATTATTCTTGTGTTGACTGACAGTTTAAGAAAAAAAGTTTAAGAAAAATAGAAAAATAACAAAGTTTATATACGTATACTTGTATCCAAACACGAGTGTCTACCTATATACAACTGAACAAAATTGTTTGAGTAATTTAGCTTATAAAAAAAAATGTTTTCTACTAACACGGTCGGCCAAGATTTTATGCACTCTGAGCCAAGTCATAAAAATTGAGCATTCATTGTTTGATTATCTCTATTTTGGTAACATTGAAATGGACGCAAAATGTGTGATATTAATAGCCTTAATTTAAGTTTGCAAGTCTCGTGGTACTTCTTGTTTATTTGTCGACATGTAAACATTTGCAAGAAATTAACAGTCATTAAAATTAACAGAATGTTTAAAAAAGTTAAAATGTAAGAGAACAATAAAAACACAAATTATTTTCATCTGAATTTGAATTGTTTGGATTTAAAATACTAACGGTTGAAAAAAACATTTTTACTGGAATCACACTTCAGATTTTTCAAAAATCCATGGCTGCCTTTTATCGTTTTTTTATTGTCTCTCGGTATATTTATTTTGTCTTTTTGACCGGTAGAGTCTAAAATTTCGGCCTTCTCAATTTATGCTTCTCGTAGGCTGGTTTGTTGTTTCAGTTTCTATAAATTTTCATCTTTGCTAGGGCCTAAAGTTCTAGATACGAGTATTAAGATAATGTTCCCTTGTTTCAACGATTTTTGAAACATGTGGAAGTTCGTTTTATTATGTAAAAAATTTAAACTTTCGATTTCCACTGGGGTGGCTTGAGACTTCTAAGGTTGTAAGAAACCCTCATATTTTTAATAGCTGCCATCATTTTTTACACTGTAGGTTTCTGTCAGTACTTACGCATTATTAAACATAGTTTCCGACGTTTAAATCAACAAGATTTATTGCTATTATATGTAGTCTTCTTTTCACAACAAGAAAGGTAAAACATGCTTAAAATGGTAAATTTTTGTTGGAAAATATCGATTTTGCAATTAGGCTCCACCCAATGATCTGACAACGAATGAAAAATTCATCACAATTGAGATAGGGCGGGTGGGCGGGGCTTACATTTTGTCTTTTTTTCTTAATATCTGTAATCATCTTTTAACAACAAGAAACTTAAAACATGTTTAAAATGGTAGATTGGCATAGCGAAATATCGATTTTGCAATTACGCTCCACCCCTCGGTCTGACAACGAATGAAAAATTCATTACGATTGAGATCAAGAGGGGTGGGGCTTCCCTTTTGGTTTTCTTTTTGAATTAATACATTTAGTTTTCTTTGTATAACACGATTACTTAAGAACATATTTCACATGGTTATTTCTCATAGAGAATTACGGATTTTACAATTAAACTCCGCACCTCGGTTTACGACGAATAAAAAAAATCATCAGAATTGAGCTGGGGCGGGTGGGTGGGGCTTATATTTTGCCTTTTTTTTCTCTTAATATACATAGCCATCTTTTCACAGCAAGTAACTTAGAACATGGTTAAAATGGTACATTTGTGCAAGAAAATATGGATTTTGCAATTATGGGGCGGCGCCTATTTGCAAAATCGATATTTCCTTATACAAAAGTTCCATTTTAAACATGTTTAAAGTTTCTT